CCCATCCATCCCTCCATCCATCCATCCCTCCACCCATCCATCCCTCCATCCATCCATCCATCCATCCCCCCTCCACCCATTTAACCATCCATCCATCCCCATCCATCCATACATCCATCCATCAATCCATCCATCCATCCATATCCATCCATACCACCATCCATCCCATCATCTGTCCATCCATCATCCATCCATCCATCCATCATCCATCCATCCATCATCCATCCATCCAATCATCCATCCATCCATCCATCCATCCATCCATCCATCCATCCTCCATCCAATCATCCATCCATCCATCCATCCAATCCATCCATCATCCATCCATCACCCTCCACCATCCATCCATCACCATCCTCACCATATGATCATACACATCATCCACCCATGCCATCCCTACCATCACATCCATCCAATCCCTCCATCCATCATCCCTTACGATGCTCCTCCATACATGCCCTCCACCACATATTAACCCATCCCCTGCCATCCCATCCATCCATCCATCCCAGTATTCACAATCAATCCATGTAATTAACCATCCATCCATTGCCTTCTCGCATCGCACCCATCAAGCACATCCATACCATCCATGCGTCCATGTACCATCCCATGCCACACCATCATGATCCATGCCCTGCCATCCAGAGTTGTCCATCTAAAACTGACCAACCATTCCCTCCAATCCATTAACCCATCCAATCCATCCATCGCCATCGTCCCGCCATGCATATCCATCCCTCACCTACACAGTTAACCGCCATACATCCATTCCTCATCCAGACAGTCCATCCTCCTCTCAGTCCATGCCATCTCCCGTCCAATCCCAGAACACGCCATATTAACCAACAATCATCCCCTCCATCATCCATCCTCTCCATCCAAGGCAGCCCATCCCTTGCACGAACCATTTAACCCATACCCATACGTCTGAATAAAAGTTTGGCGCATGGTGCATAGCCATTCCCCATACGCGCGATTCGCGGTCGTTGTACGAGGGCTGGGAGCGTTAGGTCGATCCATTTATCTCCACCATCCCCCATGACCCACCCGAGATCACTCGCAGTCCATTCCAATGCCAACCATTCCTCTGTGCGCACATCCTCTGATGACATGCCATCGCCCCTCGGCACACCCATTTAACACCATACCCATATGCCTTGCCCATCATCATAGACCATCCCTCCCAACACGTCTGCCATATTAACCATTTCCATTATGTAGTGTTTATTTGATATATCCTCCATTTCCATTAACCATTGCTTTCAGTCCATTTGTTTCACAATCCATCCGATTTCCCATCTCCAATTAAGGCGTCATAGACTGCCTATGGGAAGCGGTACAGTTGAACGTTAGTTTGGAGTCTATGGTTGTGGCATAATCCAGTCCACACCGCATTTAATACAGCATCCATCCATGCCCCTCCTGAGCCCCTGCGACTACGGCAGCTCATCCATGAACACAAAGACAGCGCATCCATCCATCCATCCATCCCTCCATCCATCCATCCCATCCATCCCACCATCCTCCATCCACATCCATCCATCCATCCAACCAACCCACCCATCCATCATCCATCTCCATCCATCCAGTCCATCCATCCAATCCATCCCTATCCATCCATGCCTTCATCCATCCATTCCATCCACCCATCCCTCCACCCATTTAACCATACATCCACCCATCCCTCCATCCATCCACCCACCCATCCCTCCATGCGTCCATCTCATCCCCAGGTGGTTCCGGGTTGGTTCATCGGGGTGTGACTGTTAGATTGAAAGCTGGTATGAGTGACTGAGAATGAGATCTTCATCTCTGCTGCTTGAGAACTTTGAAATTTCATATTTGAGAACAGGATGGAGGTTTGGGTGTGACTTCATCAGGGGTGTTAAGATGTTAAATCTGCAGCAACACTTACTATGAAGAACCATTTTTGTAATTGGATCATTTCTGTCAGTATCAACCTAATTCGATATTTCAAACATTAACACATTTCCCAGTCCAACATTTTGATTATTCCACTTCACTGAGGTCTCCTCTTCTTCCTCAGATGTTGAATGGTTTGGAAATCAACCTGACCACCTCCTGCTCCATCAGGCCGGTCCTCACCCAGCTTCCTCCACCCCCTCCTCCACCCCAGCCTCTGCAGCCTTCAGCCTGGACCCCTCTGTCCCAGCAGGAAGGAGCTCAGGAGCTTCTGGACAAAGGACGTGGCTTCAGCAGGAGACTGACACAAAGTCAGGGGTGTGGAGGCAGAGACTGGCCTCCGTCTTCCTCCATCTCCTCCTCACATGCTGCTTTTTCCTCTTCTGACTCCTCAGATCAAGAATCACAACCTTCCTGCTCCTCCTCTTCTTCCTCTTTTCTCCTGCACTTCCAGCCAGCCTCATCCCTCAGCTCCTCCTCCTCCTCCTCCACCTCCTGCTCTTCTCTCCCAGTCTTCCAGCCTGCTTCCTCCTTCATCTCTTCCCACTCCTCCTCCTCAACTCCCTTGTCTGAAGCGGCATTGAACCCTTCTCCCAAACTTGTTCCAGTCTTCAAGCGTCCATCGCACCGCGTCACCATTTCCCTGCTGCATCCCCAAAATCAGAAGCAGCTGGGTGGAGCTGTGGAAGGGTCAGCGAGGGTGACGGTGCCTTCCTTTAGGAAGGAGATTCCCGCCACTGCTCCTCGCCTTTCTTCTTTATCAGCTGCTCCCCCCCCAGTTCTTCCTTTGCCCATCATCCCTCACTTCAGCCGCCATCCCAAACTCCACAGCAGCACTGCGGCTGCTCACCCGCCTCCGGCTCACATCAAGCGCGTCTCCAGCCTCAGTCCTGTAACAAAGTTTAAACCGAGGATTATCATCCCTCCAAAGCCGGAGATCAAGACCGGCTCCAAAACCACCCTGAAGGTCAGCTCTGAAAGTGACGCTGTCACTGGCTGCAGAGATGAAACACAGACGTCCTCTGAAACCTCAAACAATGAAACCTCCAAACGCAGCACGAAGGTGAGTCTTCCTGAATAAACACCATGGTGGTGTCACTTTTTTAAAGAGCCTACAGAAGATGAATTTCAAGTAGAGTTTGAGTAATTCTGCTGATTGGCTCACAGACAAACAGCACTGAACCTCTCGCCTTTCAGAGGATCCCAACAAAAAAGCCACAAACACCTGTGTGATGTGTGACCTTTAGGCCCCACCCCTCCACTGAACTCTCAGGTGTTTCCTCACGCACCTGTTGCTGTGCTTCTTTGATGTTTCAGAGAGTTTCTTTTGACCTAAAGACGAAGAAATCCAGAGCCGCAGTTGGAGACGTGGACGTGGAGAATATGGTCAAAACCAATCAGGTCAGAAGATGAACTTCCTGTTTCCTCATTTCCATTTCTCTGTTTTTACTTTCTCCTTCTTTTCTGACCTTCTCACCAGTGCACACATGAGCTGAAACATGAGAACAAACCCTCACATGTGACCAGTTAACAAGCTGGATACAAACGTTTCTTGTTATTGGGGAAGTGTGAAGCACAAATGACAGTTAGCGTCTTCTTCTTAGTGGTGTCTGATTTGTTGGGGCTGTGTGGAGGAGACTTCACAGTCTTAAAGCTGTGATCAGACCAGCACAGAAACTAAAGCCGGAGCAGATTTTACACACGACAACAATCGGTTTGGGTTGGAGTGGACTCTATATTTACAACAGCTTTAGCATTTCACCTACTTGCTGTTCTCTACCAGACTCCATTCAGAAAAACACAAATTTTACCTCACATAAACATGGGTGGTGTCTACCTACCTCTACTTGTTTAACACAAACCAATTAACTAGTTTAGCTACTTTCCCCATCATAACAGCTTATGGTTCAAAGTTTACATTGTCAGGGGGCGTGTCTTCGCTGATTGACAGCTGGATGGTGAGATAGGTGGACCTGTGAACTGTGCTAATGCTAGTTTTACCTGCTGTGAGGTTAATGTGCCCACAGACGTGTGAGCGCCAGTTTTGGACCTCCCTCCATGTGTTTTAAAGCTGGAGCTGCTTCTCTGGTCTGTGTGCCGTACATCGGCATGTTGGGCTGGTAAGTTTGCCGTCTAACTGACCTCGCAGCCTCCGTCTGTGCTGTTTATGAAGCTGCAGGGCGAGGAAGAGGAGGCTGATGAATTTCCACTTGTACTGTATGTACAGCTTCAGCTTCCTCATAAACATCCTTGAGGAGGACCGTGCACATTACTGTGATGTATTAAAGTACGTTGGCGTGATGAATAGCAAACACGGCATCCTGCACTGTCTGCCTCAGTTTCCTCAGCAACGCTGCTTCACGGGAGGGCGAGGACTGTTAAAGTGATGAATGGGCAGGAGGAGGTGGGAGCCCGGAGGGCGCCGAGCACATTAATAACAACATTCATCAGTTTTACAGCCCCAACCTGCAAGTTTTCAGGAACAATACGCCGCTTACATTTTCACTCTTATTTACACACTGCCAGCACATTGTTCACAAAAACAGCTCCGTTACACCAGCACGGGGGCATTTTCACACATTTGAACCTGTTTTCAGTCTGGACTCAGTTTAAACTCCAGTCCAGAGGCTTCAGTGATCAATGTTTCATAGTATCTGAAGATATTTCAGCCTTTGCACACGGTCACACTGTTAGATTAGATCATCAATCTGATCTGTGCTCTTTCCATGGGGAGTGAGAGGGTTTTATTGGTGTTCAGACCTGCTGGGACACACACAGTTTCAGATGTGTTGATCTTAAGGACAGAGCTGCACATCAGTGCCCTCTTCCCTCCATCTAACTGTTGTGAGTTTGAACGTTTCTGGGGATGAACGTGTGATGATGAGGTGATGAAGAGGCAGTGAGTTGTTGAATGAAACGCACAATTTTTGAGGTTTTGTGGGTTTTTCTTCCATGTTTGTAGTCCTTGCTGTTTTCTGCTTCACTTCTTTACAAAGCAAAATCCAAACATTGGCTTAAAAAAGGATCACGCCAGCTCAGTAGAAGCACAATAGAATGCTCATGGTTTTATTCATGTGGAAACATAAACGTTTGCTCAAACAGTAACTGCTCCGAGATCTCTGTGAGTCTGAAACGTGACGTGAGCTCGTGTGCATGAGAAAATCACCGATCATATATTCTGATGTTTAACTGAAGATTTAACAAAATCATGAACGACTGACGGCAACCATGGCAACCTGCTAGTGACCAAAGCAATCACCACGAAGGTTCAGCACTTGACCCTCTCCCAGCTGTTCCTCGCACCCTGTGGTTGCCAAATGGTTTTAAACCATTAAAATGGGAATAGATCTACTCTGTGTGCAGGCTGACTAGCCCACTAAATGACATCATTAGTGTTCTGACAATCGTTACTGTGTCACTGGTCGGTGTCAGACTTACTAATCAAATTTTAGTTGATGCCCAATGCTGGTAAATTACTGTCCTAAATGTTATGCAGCCATGTGCCACCAGGTGGCGCATCATAGCTGAGAAACACCCTAGAGTCTCAGCCTGATCTTAACAGTGTTAGGAGGAGGTTGTGGATACAAGTGGCTGAAATGGGCTTTTTCTGGAAGGTGGATGGTCTCCGCCGTAGGGATAGGGTGAGGTCCAGAGTGCAGCTACTCCACATCGATACGACGCGGCTGAGGCCGTCGCCTCCTGGGTCGGGGGTTCTGGCCTGTGCTACCAGGGGGAGGGCCTGTTGTAGACCCGGCACACAGAGATTACCGGCTTCACTGCTGAGAAGCAGAAATGAATAACTGGATGATTTCTTGTTTTGTAATTTTAGAATTGAATTTTCAAACAGCGTGCGTCGTTCATAGCACACGGCACAATACGCCACTTTGCAGTCGCAGTTTGTTGGTTAGTTTGTCAGAGATGACCTTATTAGTGACACGTGTGTGACCTCAGACAGATCCGGGAGTGTCTGAGAGGTGCAGCGAGCACCTGGACAGCTTTAACATCTCTGGCACTGGAGGAGACGGGAAATAAGGAAAACTGGTGAATTGGCTGGGAATGACTGCTGACGGGAAGGTGACGGCACATCCGTCTTCATTACCGCTCGTTTTCCTTCCTTCCCCTCCTCTCATCGCTCTTCATCTTCACCCGTCACTCCTCGTTCTGTCGCTCGCCCCTCGTCGTGTCTCTCGCCTCGTTCACCTCTTCCTTCTTTCTGTCTGCAGTTGTCCAAGCTGAACTCTGCGACTCTGCTGCTGTGGCTGAAAGCTCGAGGCGTGAACGTCAACGCCAAACACAGGAAGGAGGAGCTGATGATGAAGGTCATGAGCTGCCTGGCTGAGGCCTGAAGCACACACTGGCTCACCCCTCGCTGCATTTACTTAATAGAGTTACTTTGGAGTATTAACGCTGCGCTAAGCTTTCCTTTTAAGAATTTGATGTAAAATCTTATCAGCCGGGACAGATGAGAGCTTCTCATCCTCGCTAATTGAGATGCTGAACATTTGCCAACGTTAGATTTTGGTGTCAGATGAAGTCACAGCGGGTCCAGAGGAGGACCTTTGATTAAATGAAAGCACTGTTGGAAGCTTTCTCTTCCATGTGACGCCTTCACTCGTGTTCACTTTGCTTCATTGTTCAGGTTATTAACTGTAAAACTGTTCATTCACTGTGTGGAAGGTCCTCAGTGTTCCTACAGCAGCTGCTTCAGAGTCTTTTACCTGTGAGCCTCTAAAGAGCCACAGGGAGGTTTTACAAGCTGTTCACAAAGGTCATGTCTTCACAGAAAGCACCAGCGTTCTGCAGCAGGTGTGTTTGTTCTGGAGCTGCTCACCACTGTTCACGACTGCACTGTAATAATTCTTATTGAAGGTTTGAGAATAAAAACAAATTATTAACCAGAGTGCATGTTTGTTTTTTACCTTTGTCTTTTAAAGGTTTGTAGCTGTTTGCAGCACACACACACACACACACACACACAGATGTGCTCGTCCTTGTGTGAGTTAAGATGTTTGGGGCTTTTCTCTCATCATGTATGAAGGCCGTCAGATTCGTTGTGGTGAGCTGGGTCTCGTTCTGACTGCAGAGTAAAGAATATGCAGCGTTTGTTTGTGTGTCAGCATTTTACACAACATCACAACTTTCTGCACAACAAAACAGGCCTCGTTCACGTGCACATCTGTCCAGCAGAGAAACATCTGTGCTGTTCTGCACCGTTTGAAACCACATCAGCATGATGGGGGCTGAAAAACAACCTGCTGGGAAAAATAATGCAGTTCCTCTGACGCCCACCAGAGGCTCCAGCAGGGAGTCAGTCCACATAGACGGCCTTGTTAATAACAGACCGTTTAAGTCTGCGCTGCGGGTTTGGACATTTTATTTTTGCACCAACCTCTGTGTGTGTCTGTGTGTGTGTGTGTGCGTGTGTGTGTGTGTGTGTGCGTGTGCGTGTGCGTGATGCTCTCATACAGTCCAAACTAGCAGGCATGACCTCATCCAGATGTGATCATAAAAAGGTTGTAATGGCCTGAAGCTGAAGTTGTTTTTGCTGCATCCATCTCTTACATACAGTCCATACTGACAACATCATGAGTGAGCAAAGTGCAGAGATCTGAGTGTTTGTGTGTGTTAATGACCATCACTGAGCCTGAGGCTTCACAGCAGAGCGTTCACTCGTTCCTCAGGTCTGTGCAGCGTGTAAAACAGTGAAAAATGGTTTCAGTGCAGAATGAATCAAGAACTATGATGAAGGCAGACTCCTGCAGGCGGACATGATGTGTTCGTGCTTACATGTATACTTTATAAATCCCTGGGAACAACTTGAACTAATCTCTGTCCTCCAGTTACAAACACACAGAGCTCGGAGGACGGCTGATGATGATTGAGGGGAAATATTTGCGCAGTGTAAACATCTTAAAGCTCCAAGTAATGAGGCAGACATGGAATCTGCTCCAAACTGTAATAATAAAACACAGCAGCATTCGTTATTGGAGGAGATCCGTGTGTGTTTGTGTTTTGGATATCAGCTTCCAAATGTGCAGTGAAAGTAAGGTTTTCAAAATAAACCTCCGTCTGCCAGAGCGGTGGGTTGGACTGTTTGTGGGAACGTCCTAAAGCACGCCTGCAGGCGGGGCGCTCCTACCTACACAGACCCGATCCATGCGTCCCGGGGCTCACGGTATACAAATATTGCCGTCTAATGTATAAATGCCAACACACTGCAAGCCATCGTGATTACTGAGGAGTGTGACTCGTCTGCAGTGGAGGACTCTATTCTGCTTATTTTCCTATACAGAAGCAAGGTTGTTGAGCCTGTGTGTCATTTGGTGGTTCAGTTGTCGTCCTGTAAACTGATTTCAGCTTTAGCCGGTTTATCACCGTTAATCACAGCCTGACAGATCGCTTGTAATTGCCAACCTGAGCTCATTCAGTTGCACTGATAGCAGACCGTCTCCATGCTTTTTGTTATCTCGATGCACTGCAGTCACAGATCCCGTCTGTGTCTTAGTAGAAAACTCATTGCTCAGAGGTCGAGAAGTTTTAGCTGTGCCGTGACCTCTGACCTCGTTTCCTGCTGTGGCTGCAGGGTGAGTTAGTCACATGGTTGATAGATGTTTCCTGTAAAAGTGTTTGTCTGTCGTTGCGTCAGCAGACACCTGTTTGTGTATCGTGTGAAAAAGCCCACGTCCAGCTCAACCCTGAGCTTCCCCACATTTCTGTGCCTGCAGTTTCCCACAATGCATTCTGATACTCTCCCCACCAGGAAACTCTATCCTGAGCAATGGCACATTTGGGACGAGGTGGAATTCCATTATTTTAGACACGCTGTGAGTGTGTGTCCAGTCAGATTCCCCAGAGGTGAAATCACTGCTGTCAGGCGTTCCATCATTTTTCACTCTGTTCAGCCTCTGCTCGATCCCCCGAGTCAGACCTGACCTGCGAAATGATCCAGCACACACTCACACACACACACACACACACACTCGCACACACACACTCACACACACACACACACACACGCGCACACACGCACACACACACTCACACACACACTCACACACACTCACACTTCGTTTTTATATCTTTGTGAGGACATCTCATTGACATAATGCTAACCCTTACCATCTAAAGTGAATGCCTAACTCTCAGTCTATTCCTAACCGTAACCTAACTGTCACCCTGACACTAAAACCACATTTTGAGTCTCAAAAATGCCTTCAAACTTATGGGGACGGGATTTCGTCCCCATAAGGCTGTTGGGCCCCACAAGCACAGTAAACCTCCAATTTTTGGTCCCCACAAAGATATGAAAACACACACACACACACACACACACACACACACACACACACACACACACACACACGCACGCTCTGTGTGTTTACATATCAGCTGACAGTTTGAAGCAGAGTGTGACAGAAACCTCTCCAGCTTTAAGAGCCTCTTGAGTCTGAGAGACGAAACTACAGCGAGAGTGACCTCGCTGATGGACCTGGAGCTGAAACCACATCATCGTCAGCTGTTACACTCGCCCTAAGTGATGTGGTCTAATGCAAACGTCACAGCAAGCCTTCACACTCAGATTCAATGATGTGCGTTACATATACAAAACAGATGAATGTCCCCACAGCATGAGTAATACGAGCACACAAACACACACACACACACTGTAATGCCTCTTTTGTCTGAGCTGTTTGAGTTCAGGTAATGATGGTGATAAATGATGATAATTACTCTGTACTACATACTTGGTGCTGCAGTGTTTGACTCCAGGTCTGACTGATTTTTCTTTTTAAGGCTTTCATCCAGCATCGTCTCCTTTTTCTGAGAACTGCAGCTCCTTTCTACCAGGAAATCTTTTCAAGACTGCAAGCCTGTAAAGAATAAGAAGGCCGATGCGCTCGAGCTCCGACTGAAGCAGCCTTCACTCAGAGTTATGTGTAGTTCGGGACATAAAAGCAGCTCTTCGGGTTGACTCGGAACAAAAGACAGTAAGCACTCTCTGTCGTAAAGCCGTAAAGTTTAGTGTCTCCATCCATAAAATAAAGAAACTCATTTAAATCTGGGCACCTGCCCTCCTGACGCTAATGTGTACTCCCCTTTGTCTGAATCTAGAGATACGTCAAGTCCATTTGCACTTCAGTAACCTTCAGTCTTATTGGACATCAGCAGGTCAGCTGCACAAAGGTCAGATTTAGCGTGTGCATGTAAGCAGAGGAAGCAGGCACACTGAACAGGTTCAGGTTTTTGTACCAAAGGTCAGGTGGATCACCATTACTCCAGAACCTGAGCTCTGGTAGCTCTGTGCTGCCTCAGAAACGCACACAGCTCCACAGTTTGTGCTATGCTTCAGCAGTGGTAGGTTTGATTGGTAAACGCTGGGACTGCCTCCTTTTTTGCCTTAAATCTTTGCTGCAGAGAGGAGAGAGACCGAGTCCAGATCCAGAACAAAGACTGTTCTGTTTCTGCAGCACAGAAACCAGGACAGGGTCAGAGTGATGGATAACTCTGTGCTTCCCAGTGTCCATGTGAGAGGCAGAGGGAGGGGATTTATTGCTTTTTATTCAGAGGTAGCGGTCAGTGAGAGTGTCTCCATCCAAAAGGTTGAGCATATTAAAGCATAAATGTCTCTGAAGGTTAATGAGCAAAAGTAGACGAGGTGAACTCGGGCTCGTTAAAAGTTACTCTGATATGAGAGGAACCTGCACAGGGACAGATGTTAACACCTCACTGTTGAACCCTGCTATCAGCTCTTAGCACATAAACCATCCTGACGTTTGTCTGTAATTACTCTTCCCAGTTACAGTTACACGTTAGTCGGGCCATGAAGTAAAGGTCGCCATCCTGGCAGGCTCCCTTCTAGCTAGTAAAAATCCAAACTATTAATTATTTTATCTTGTTTACTGTAGATACAGGTACTGTTTTTATTTAAAAGTACTGTTAGTTACCTGATCTCAGCTAGACTAGAGCCAAAGTAGAACCATGTAGTTGTTGTAGCACCGTTGTATCCGCGGTTTAACCTGACGATAGCCGTCAGAACGTCACATCTCCATGTGTGAGGAGCCCTATCGCATCAAAAAGTGTAATAAAAGGTTGATGTTTGTGTTGTACTCAGTGGGCATTTAAAGGAATAAACTGACTGATGTTGCTGTTTAAGCTCCTCCATGCTGCCCACAGTTGTTGGTCACCTGCAAGCTGCTTTGCAACCCACATCTATCCTGTGACTCTTAAATGAAGTCAGAGCACAGGTGTCGAACTCCAGGCCTCGAGGGCCGGTGTCCTGCAGGTCTTAGATGTGTCCGTGATCCAACACAGCTGATTTAAAGGCTAAATGACCTCCTCAACATGTCTTGAAGTTCTCCAGAGGCCTGTTAATGAACTAATCATGTGATTCAGGTGTGTTGACCCAGGGTGAGATCTGAAACCTGCAGGCCCTCGAGGCCTGGAGTTCGACACCCCTGAGTTAGAGGAAGCAGTTCTTGATACTCGAGACTTTTTCTGCCTGTGAAACAAATGCATTGGGTGCTACTGTTATATGATAAACTCTGGAGTAAGTGAACGAGAAAGCAGCCCGTCCTCCGTGATGGAAATGTCTCCGGGAACTAGCTGCAAGGCTCTTTCACATCTGCCCGGCTGAACGGTGCGCTGTGAAATAACGGTAAATGTCAGGTTGTGTGTCTCAGCCCTGACGCCGCACGACTGACAGCACACAGTCGCTGGCAGAGGACCATAGAGACTACAAATCCAGGTTAATGCACATGTGGGGCCCGGAGGACCTTTACAGGGTCTGCACACAGTTAGCAACTTGAACCCGTCTCTGAGGAAATCCGAGCTTTCCTCAGAGACGGGTTCAAACTGAGGCTGTGTGCAGAGGCATGAAGCTGGATTTATGTAAAGTCTCAC